CTATTTCATTTTGATAAATCATGGGGAATATAAACTACAATAATGTAATGCTGATGCTGCAAATTGAAGCCCGTAAAACTCAGGAAATGTAAAAGTCAAGGTTCTTACAGTTTTATTAACTAGTTTACATTTCTTAAATGTAGAAGATAGCCTGCTAGTATGGCTATAAAACTGGATTAAGATAAAGACAGGACTCCAATGATTAGGAAATGGGCCTTGTCCTAATTTCTGGAAAAAAAAAGCAAAAGGTTAACTATCAAGTCTACATTAAAATAAATAATTTTAAATTAGCTTCTTAAGATGCTTTCTTTCACTTTGAATCTTCTTGCATTTAAAAACTATATTACTTATTTTTCGTTTACCACTATGGAAAATATCGGGAGGCTATTTGGGTCATCTTTTTCAGGTATCTTACTTCTCCTGAATCAGTCACCTTCAAGATATGTCTGAATTAATCCATATTGAGTAATGAATTCAGGAATAAAAGAACATAAAAAGAGTTCAACAAAACAAACAAACGAACCCCAAAACAAAAAACACATTTCAAAAATATATATTTTGGGGGGTAAACAATGCAAAATTTCTACTTTATATTCATATAAACAAACCTATTTAAATGGTATGTTACTGTAACTGAGAAATTTTTAAAGTAATATTTTACATTATTTAAGTTTACATTTTTATCCAAATCAAAGATGTTTGTGGAAATGGGATATTCTAGAATTTTTTTGATTTTTTAAAAATTAAAATTAAAATAATTGCCACCTATAACATAAAGTAAAAATTAAAATCATTGCAACCAATAACATAGTAAGTTAATCCATAAAACATAAGAAAACAGTTTTCAAAATAGGATTACAACAAATTAAAAGTCAAATAAAATTTTAAAACAAAAATCAGATAAAACCAAAAATGAAAGCAATCTCTGAAACAAAGCTTAAGTTAATGAATAGATTAAACAAGGAGTGGCTAAAGAAACGATTTTCTTAAGAAAAAAAAAAATCAGGGGCTATGTGTTTCAACTAGAAGTATACTAAAAGAAATGTGAAACTGCAGCCATAACTCTGTTCTTGCTATAACTATGTTACTTAAATTATATGAAGATTGTGGTATGCTAATTACAATAAAACATAAACGATGACGGAAAGTTTTCCCATTTGGGCATATTTTTTTCTTTGTTATCATTTAAATGTCATTTTATGGCTACAGTGACAGTGTTCAAAAATACGTCTGCAAAGGAGCAATGAAAAAAATACCAGGGAGCTCAACTCTTTTTGCAAACGACCCTGAGTTAATTAGAAAAATCTGCACCCTTCCCATTTCTTCTCCTCACGTGTCAGCTCCCATTAAATTAAAAAAAAAAAAAAAAAACAAAAAAAAAAAAAAAAAAAAAAAAATCTCATTTCAAAGGTAAGAAATCCTATGGTTAACAAAACTTTAAACTGGGATCAAGTGGGCACATTCCTACCTTTCTGTATGATGTCATACCAAGCAGTTCACAGCTGAATTTGCAAGAAGTATGAATGATTTTTCAGTATAAGAAATATCTGATCTAATGCTAATTTTTCCTCTATAGGCTAACTGTGCAGAGAACAGGTGGCCCTGCTTTCAATTATGGAGGGCTAGCATGCCAGTGTGAGGCCTGGATTAGTTCACCTTCTCACGGGGAATTCTCCTCGGTTGGGAATGGATTTATTATGGCTTCACACATGGAATAGAGCTCATGTCAGCTGAGGGCAGTGACACATCATATGATTCAAATTAACCTGCTGTGGACTGTTCTGCGGGGCTTAGATTGTGTATTAAAATGACGACATTTTAAAAACAGCTTGAAAGAAACCAGGATTGCTGAACTGCAATGGTTCCAATTTGTTCCAACTAATCTATCACCTGCTGGAGATATTATTCTAGTGGGTTTCTGGTAGCTGCTGTTTTCCAGGTTTCTCAAAGCCACTGACCTTGCTAATGGGTACAATTGCTGCCTCTGCAGAAAGGAGGTGGGGGTGCTGAGAGCGTACTGAAGGGGTTTTTGATATAGAAGTTGGGACCTACCATTTGTCTAAGGTACTATTAATAAGAGAATACTTAAAAACTTTGCATTTTTTTTCTAAAAACAAATGCTAAAGAGCAGCATTTTTATCACTTTGTTTAGATCAAATAATTCCTGAAAAATAAATCTGAAAGGCAGAATTCAAAAGCTGTTAAGTTTGCATCTTTATGAAGAAAATTTAAAATTAGGTAGTTATAATCTGTATTTCCTCTACCCCTAAGGGCCATAACTTTTATGGCTACTGCAATCTTAATTCAAGAGCAAAAAAGAATAACTGGAAATATACTACTTTAGAGAGGTAGCATAAAACATTCTTTGGAAATGATTCTTAAATAAGATGGGAACATAGATAAAAAAATCTAATGGTAGTAAATGATTCTTAATGATAACACTGCATAAAAATTAGAAGGATTAGTTGCAAAACTAAAAAAGCCTTTCTTTTTATTTTTCAAGAAAAGAGAATGGTATTAGGTAATACTATAAAGCTGAAGTTTGTTCCCCATATCTCAGCATAAATAATATTCCTCTTAGTATATACTATTACCCAAAATTTGAAAAAAAAAATTTTCTTGACTTGCCAAAAATCTATAAAGTAATACATTCCCATGGCAAGAAATGCTTTAATGTGTCCTATTTTTCTTATTGAACTCTAAATTAGTATAGAGTGGCAATTTGGCTGTGTAGTTAGAGAATATAATTATGCTCTGGAATAACACCTACTTTAAGTGGAATATATACTTTAAGTGACAAATCGTTTACAATAAAGAAATTTTTGTCTACGACAGGGAATTCTGGAGCAATTCAAGTTTGTTTAGTGTTTCAGTGGAATCCCACACAGCTGATATATCATTCGAACTAATCTTCCCTCAAATAATTTATGAAAGAAAAGTACTCTCGATTAAAAGAGACTTAGAAGAACTGGACTCTTCGATATTGAAGAACTTAAACCATTCACTGGACATTGTTTCTGATTTTTCATAATAAAAATACCATTTAAAAAACCACTCATCATTCTTTGTATCATTCCCTTATCTTAAACCCCCCAAAATATCTGCAGTTTGGTCTTCAATACTTGTAACTGATGATATTATGAAAATCATACATTTTTTTTCTTTCATATATTAGTTACATAAAACCTTGGTACAAAAAGTATCGTCTCCAGACCAACAGCATCCACTTTACCTGAGAGCATGTTAGAAATGTACAATTTCCTACCTATCTTCTAGAACTATTAAATTATATTTGCATTTTAACGAGCTCCCCAGAGATACTTTAAATGTACACTCAAGTTAGAGAAGCGATGCTGTAAAATAACTATTTCAAATCATTTATTTCAAAGTTTGACTCTCTAGATGGATTATAACTATTATTGACTGAACATAAGATTAGAAATGGCATACGTGTAATTTCCAATTTAAAAAAGTACAAGAAACACAAAGTACAACTATTTTTAAAAATCACATTTCTACTACTCATATTAAGTTCTAGAACTGTAAGCATAATTTTTGATTCATTCACTGACACATCTCTTAAAATTCAATTTATTTGATTGCCATGAAAATAGGTAAACAATTTACCATTTACAGGTCCCATCCCTTTTACAAACAAGTCAATCGAATGTAAACTAGAAGAGAGCTTTCTAGCCAAAGTGGGTAAAAGACTGTGCCAAAAAACAAAAAAGAGTCTGACACTGAAAAAGAGAAATAAGGGGTAAACCCAAGTTTCCCTCTCCTTTCTCCATTAACTAACCATATGATCTTCCCCTATTTTATCCATTCTAACATGTTCAGTTTTTTACATGTGAATAACTCTGAAGTCAGGAAGTAAGTGTCCTGCAACTGACATAAGAAAGAACCATATCATAGTTTAAACAGTGGATATTTTTTTCTCCTAGTGATACATAAAATGTTTTTTCCTATAATTGGAAGTGGCTTAGAGTCAATGAAATATAGTACTTCACACTCACTAAGCAAGTTCTAGGACTCACACTCCTCTCAATTCATCCATTACCTCACCCTGAAGACTTCTTCCAACTTTAATGACTCCCTCAGTTTTCCTCATCAGCTTCCCGCTTTCCGTTGAGTCTTTAAAACTATGTCTAGATGCTTATGATAATTAGAAATAGTTCTTCATAGTTCTATACTTTTAAATGCCAGCACTGGAGAAATATGCTTAAGAAGAATTGGACCCCGGACATGACCAGCCGCCACCTCCGTCTGTAGTCGTGCATTGTCACGTGCATTGGCTCACTATAGCATACATTTCACCCAGGTCCACACAGGGATATTTTGCACTCAGTTTAGCTTACTTATTCATAAAATAGGGATAATTATAGTGCCTATTCGTTGGTTTATATGAGTACGTAAAACACTACTTGGGACATAATAAATATGCAATAAATACATTTTGATATGTATATCTATTGAAAACTGAGTAAAAATGTTTCTAGCACTTTGCTAAGCAACTGAAATAAGTATATTTATATATCAAATGTATCTGTGTACACTGCCTTATATATGTATATCACGTATCTCATCCATCCATCCATCCACTCACTCACCAACCCGACCATTTATCCACCCATCCATCTATTCTTCTCTCTTCATTTATAAATAAGGAAACTGAGGCACAATAGATTAGATCAACTGCCTAAGGTCACACAGTTATTTAGTAGAAAAAGTAGAAATAAAATCTTGGGTCTTTGGCTTCCGGTCAATTATTCTTTAATTGTTAACTACTTTTTGCCAGACTACAGGTAATTTTCAATGCATATTAATATCTGCCTATTGATCTTCATAATGGGCAGCCTGAGCAGAAGAGTACACTTTTGGAAAACAAATGAACTGTTCATTTTTGGCAATGAATCTCAAGATTACTAATAGACCCTGTGTACATGTTAATATACTCTCATGAAAAAAAAATACACACATTTGAAGTATGACTTTCTTACCTGGTCCATTAAGAAAGTCTTTAATCTGTAGCATTACAAGGGAAGGTGGAATACCACTTTTGCTGTCTATTTCTCCAGGCACCGTCTGCAGCCAAACTGTGCAGTAATCAAGGGCTTCAGGCAGAGTCTTCCCAGGATCTGAAGTGATAAAATTGAAATTAAAAATGTCGACTATATCATAAATATCTCATTTTGGTATAAGAGTTTCAGCTGATAAACAAGAGGAAAATCTGATTAACTACAGTGTGTAACCTTCATTGATTAATTTGTTTGTATACATACAATACACAAATACTTGTATGGAGAAAGAGAGGCTCTCTCTGTACAAGGTGGAATGATGAAACCATATTGTCCAGAACCAGGCCAAAAAGGAAAAGACATTTCAAATCTTAACTCACATCACCTCTGACTAATGGTAAAGTTTCTGCATTCTGAGCTGTTGACTGTTAACAGTTGAATAGGTGGATTCCTTTTTATTTTTAAGAAAAAACGGGATGTTGGAAACAAATTAAAGAAAAAAGTGCAAGCTTTTCAGCTTAAAAAAAAGCATATACATGTTCAAAGAAGCAGTGGATTAGTACTACTTAGGGGTTATTTGATCTGTTTCAGAGTTTTACTGACATTACAATCACATTTTACTGCTAGGCTTTTGAAGTTAGCTTCAGTAGCTTTCCCATAACCTTCTTTAATGATAAAAATTGGCCGATCTTTTAATAGTCCCAATTATAACTAAAACTTGACATTTTTTTCTGGTTTAACTTTTTCTATTAAATATTGTGTTTTTTTTAAAACATTTCTTTCTGGTTAATATTGTATATATATTTTAAAAGCATTTTTTAGCTATTGGTGATGGCAAATGGAATTTTCTTTTTAATACTTAGCAAACCACAGTTTTTATTGAAATAGCACTTTAAATAAAAACGACTGCTGTATCTTGGCATACAATGTGGTAGGCTTTTTAAAAACTTCTAAATATTCACAGTTTTTCTTTAGTTTCAAGATTGTTTTACTCTCTGTGTTTTAATGGCCTCTGAATGTCAATTTTACAGGGATGTTCTTGCCATAGATTCCATCTATTCCATTTTCAGTTGATTTGAAATGTGTTATTAAAGTGTTATTTATTTTAGGTTTTATTGATTGGATCGCTTTCAAGAATAGCATTTACATACAGTGTATTATATTCAACATATGGTTATATAGTATTACTGTCACATGTGAACTGGGCATATAAATTCTGCCTTGGAATTTGTATTTCCTGACCTTATCATGTGATCCTTATGAAATTTGGCACATATGAACCTTTATGTGATTTCAAAGAAAATACTGAAAGCAATTGATCATGACGTTAGATCTATGTGGTAAAGATCAAACACTAAACTAGTGCATTCTTCCTTTTTATATGATCAGTGAATTTAAAGCAGTGAGAATATGCATAGTAGATCCATTACATAGTAACATTACACTCTTCTCTTAAGTATAATGAGCAAGTCTGGTGAAAGGATGGCAAAACTCTGTTGCTGGTTGGATCTAATCAAGTGTGAAGGAGCTTCGAAAGCTTCTAGAACCTCAGTGTCTATTTCTAGAGCCTCACTTATGAGCAATCATCAAGAAGCTGTTATTATAAAGTAAGTGGTACTGTGCCAGACCTATATGAGGGGGCATAATTCTTTGTTTTGAAGAAAATACAATCTAGAGAAGGAACAATGATATAACAGAGAAAATGATATCACAGATATAAATGATATAATTAAATAATGAACAGAGATGAATTCGATTAGAGAAATATTAATATGATGTGTAAAAATCTGGCAAGTAAAACGATGATAAGTAAAACAAGTTATAGGAATCACATATCCAAACTTGTATGACAGAAAAGGGATATCACTAATTATATATAGAGTTCATATAATCAATACCGATACTAACAGAAAAATGAGTACAGGATAAGCAATCATTCAAAGAAGAAAATTAATACTAAGAAGCAGTTAATAAAGAAAAATAGCATATAAACATTTAAAAATATAAACATTAAGAGATATTCAATCTTACCAATAATCAAAGAGACTATTTTTTAAAATAAGTAGAATTTTTCACCTGATAGGCCAAGACTAAAAAAATGATGCCTGTGTCACATACACACACACACACACTCTCTCTCTCTCTCTCACTGTAAAATTATTTATCATAGTGAAAACTATAGAACCACCTAGATGTTCATCAACAGATTAATGTTTAAATAAACAATGATAATCCATACAATTATTTAAAGAACATCTATACATATTGACATAAAATGACAACCATTTTGTATTGTTAACAATAAAAAACAAAGTAGGTTAAGCATCTTTTCATTTATTGGCCATTTAAAATTCCCCTTCTACGAAATATTTATTCATTTTTCTATTGAGTCCTTTTCCTTACTAATTTGTAGGAGCTCCTTATATATTATCAGTATTAATGTTTTGTTTGCTAAGTGTAGCAAACATTTCCTCTTGGTATGTTAGTTGTCATTCAATTATATTCTGATGCATTTTGTTTGCATACATTTTTTTATAGATGGGGTTAAAAATCTATTAACTTTTACTTTATGAACTTATCCCTAGGTGATTATATATTTTCTGTAGTTTCTTGAAGGATTTTAAAGATATTTCTACTTTTAGCCGTTTAATCCTTCTGAGAGCATTGTTTTATGAAAAATAGGAAAAGTCTGCTCAGCCTCACTATTAATCAAGCATATACACAAATAAAAACAGAAAACACAGTTAAGTAATAAGATTAGCATAAATTAAAAGGATCGATAATATTTTGTGTGGGGGAGAAGGAGGAGAAAGAGATCCTCCCGTGTATGGTGGAAAAGAGTGTAAATCCAGTATTTTTGCATGTGTGGGGGAGAGGACCAAACTTCTGAATATCCATGCCCTTGTAATCAGAAAGGCCATCTGTAGGACTCTGTCTTAAAAAAATACTTAAAACTACACAGATAAACATCCAAAGAAGTTGACTGCAGCATCATCTGAAATATTAAAAATGAGAAAAATAAAACTAAATAGAGAAATGGTAAAATAAATTACAACTATACTGTGAATACTGCATAGAATACTAAGCTGGCATTATTCACAGTAGCCAAGACATGGAAACAACCTAAATGTCCTTTGGTAAGGGAGATGTGGTACATATATACAATAGAATATTACTCATCCATAAGAAAAGATGAAATACTGCCATTTGCGACAACATGGAAGGATCCTGAGAGTATCATGCTAAGCAAAATAAGTCAGAATGAAAAGGACGAGAACTATATGATTTCACTCACATGTGGGATATAAAATAGAAAGCAACAAATAAAAAAAAAACCTCATGGATACGGACAACAGTATGGTGGTTATCAGAGTTGGAAGGGGGTGGGGAAAGGCTGAAGAGGGTAAATGGGTCAAATACATGGTGACAGAAGGAGAGTAGGCTTTGAGCAGTGAACACAATTTAATATAGAGATGATGTATTACAGAACTTTACACTTGAAACTTATATACAATCTTGTTAACCAATGTCACCCCAATAAATTAAAGAAGAAGAATACTATGCTGTTAATAAAAAGAAGGAAGTGAATCTGATGTACTGATATGAAGGAGCTTCAAAATATCTTGTGAAGTGAAAAAAAAAAACAGGATAGTAGGTTTAGTAAATTCAAAAGTAAAAAACCTAGCTGCATACATATATACATACACATATACATATCTTTTTTTAAGTACTGGAAGATGACCATCTTTGGGATGATCCTAAGCACATACTGATATATGGACATATAATTTATTCAGAGCTGAAAAAATTAGGACTACATATCAGGCATATACAAAAATTAAAATGAAGGGGAGAGAAAAAAAGCACTTCAAAGGATATGTGATGTCTTACCTTCATTGAATAGACTAGGGCAACAGCAAATTCTGATAACGTGAGTGAGCATTTTACAAGTAGGGAGGATAGGATTTATGCAGGTTGCCTTCCTTTTGGTAGAAGTTAGAGGGCCTGGCCATCTACATCAGGGGGATATGACTTAGAGATAAAATCAACAAACTGGCAATAGCAGGAAGCAGAATATGAATTAGCAATCAAAGAAAGTGTGAAAATCTAGGAAATGTATCCAAGAAGGCCAAAATTTCAATGACTATTTCCTAACAAAATATTACTGGCTTAATGATATTATTGGTTTAATTACTACATAACTAGTTTTAAAAGTACAGCTGTATTTACAGGGGCAAGAGAACAGAATAACTGAAATTTGGGGCATCCAGGAAAATACAGCTTGCATGGTTGATGAATACTGAATATATGACAGGGCTGGTGGCTACTCTCTTTAGTTTTGGCTAAAATCTCTACTTTGGATCTGCCTGTAGTCATTGCGGTTAGATGAAGGAGCAGAAGTAGCAGAAAGTTATGTCAGAATCCCAGAGAAATAGCTCAGGTTTGCAAGTCAGTATCGAGTCTCTTATATTCTAACGGCTAGATGATGAGGGGGCACGACTTCTAGATTTCCTGTACTGTCTTCAATTTACTTCTCCTGAATTCTATCATCAGGGTGAGAAAATAGGGTTCATATTACACATTCCTCAGGGTCAACATCGCTGGGAAAGCACTAGTGAAACTACGATTAAAGGAGCCTGTGAATATGATAGAGTGACAAATAGGGATGATTGTTTCATACCGGAAGCTCCTTCAGACTTTGCTAGTTTCCTTCTCCATACTTAGCAAACGCCTATTTAAATGAACAAAAAAAGCTCTCAAACTCCTCTCGCTGTTGATGAGCACACTTACACTGTTATCTCTAAGCCTAAAAAATAAGAGAAAGTTGTATCTTAGTGGGAGTAACAGAATATGGGAAATGCATGAGAAAAAATGACAAACTGCTCATGGATATAAATCCTGTTTAAAGTCAGCCAGAACTCACTTCAGTAAGATATTGGTATTGACAAAGTTATATTATTTTCCCTCTGGGTTGACCTGGCCTCCAAAAGAAAATGCTTCATTATAACATGTCACAAGAAACGACCTAAGATTCAGAAAGTCTCAAGTCTATTCCTAGGTGGATCAAGGTGTTGTTGGATTTCAGGGACTTGATTCAGACTGTGTTCTTTGTACTTGTA